TTAGCTGCTTATCTGTATTAATACGAACAGTTTTTTATAGATACTTGTGTTACAATAAATTTTTCACCATTTTCAATTATATTAGCTATACAATTGGCGTGTGAATACAAAAAATGAATTCTTTTTCTTCCCTAGTCTGCCGAAAATTGGTAGGATTTTCACAGTCAAGTATACAGTGCTTTGATAAGATCGCTACCTAGAAGTTAGCTGCTTATCTGTATTAATACGAACAGTTTTTTATAGATACTTGTGTTACAATAACTTTTTCACCATTTTCAATTATATTAGCTGTACAATACTAAATAATACTGAATTATATGCCTTCGGTTTGTTTCAGAATTTTCGCGCAAAGCTGTATAACAATCATCTGCGCATATACGTCTAATTTCCACTTGATTCACTTTACAGTGAGATTGCAACTTGTCACCAGTACCCACCGCTAATCTTAAATTATTCTTACCTGACTAAATAGTTGGATTTGACTGTCACCCTTATAATGCACCCACAGTTTCAAAATGCGGAGTACGATTTTGTGTCGTATCGAAGCCGAGAAAGAAAAAGAACAAGCTCGCATTGAAGCCGAAAAAGAAATTAGGCTGAAAGAAATATAAATTAGACTCAACACTGATCAACAAGGCAAAATGACAACTTTGAACTTAATCGATATCTTAAAGTACCACCGTTCAATGAAAATGAAGTTGATAAATATTTCCAACATTTTGAGAAGATTGCCCAAACCATGGAATGACCCACAGAAAAATAGTCATTATTATTACAAAGTGTCTTAACTGGTAAAGCACAAGAACCTTATGCCGTTCTCTATCTAGAAGATTGTATGAATTATGATAAAGTTAAAGCAGCTATTCTCAAAGCATACGAGTTAGTACCAGAGGCTTATCACCAAAAGATTCGAGATTAATGCAAACAAGATAATCAAGCTTATATGGAATTTTCCCACGAAGAAAGAGGTTTATTTTTGATCGATGGTGCAATTCTGTGCATATTGGCAATAGTTTCGACAAACTAAGACAATTATGTCTAATTGAGGAATTTAAACGTTGTGCACGTGACGTCCTCAAAAGTCACTTGGATGAAAAGAAATTTGAAACACTACAGGAAGCAGTCGCTTTTTCTATGACTACACTTTAACACATAAAACCACTTTTCATAAAAAGAAATTCCTACCATCTCAACAAAAAACCTATATCTGTTCAATTCACTGAAGTTGAGGATTCTTTTAAAAAATCCAGCTCCTGTAGTTCGAAATCTTTTGACAGTCAGGATAAAACTTCTTTAAAACAATCAAAGCCTGTCTGCCATTTTTGTAAAAAAACCTGGTCATATTATGTCCGATTGTTGGTGTTTGAAAAAGAAGAAAGGAAAGGAGGCAACACCCAGGCTTTTGTGTCCACATATGGACGTAGTTTTACTAGATCACCCTTTTTTGTTGATTTGGTCATTGATATAAATACTGATGTAATCAGGGAGGAATTTAGACCTTTTGTGTCTTTGACAAATGACACTAGCAATCCCAAACCCATACGTATTCTATGTGATACTGGAGCGACTCAATCATTGTTGTTAAAAGGTATATTGCTTTTAGATTCAAGTTCTGCCACTGGTGAGTCTGTTATTGCTCAGGGTATTGAGGGTGGCTTTGTTAATGTTCTATTTCATAACATTTATTTAGCATCATACCTAGTTTCGGGACCGATTGTGGTTGGAGTAAGACCTACTCTGGCAATTAAGGGTGTGTCATTATTGTTGTGAAAGGATTTGGCTAGGAGAAAAGTTGTTGCCGAACTTAAATTGTTAATGAGCCGATTACTGTTTCATCTAAGGATTATGTTGTCGTATAGGAGAATTTCAATGTGTTTCCCTCGTGTACTGTGACTCGAGCTCAGGCTAAGAAATTAAGCCAAAAACAAATGATAGACATGGATTCAGAGGACGATGTTATAGATTTGTCTCAGACATTTTTTAGATCCGACGAGGATCTTGTGGATAACTGTCCTATTGATGATTCCTCGGTGAGGGACAACGATAGACGTGAGGGATCTGATTCACTTAGTGAAGTTCCGTTTACTAAAAGTAAATTTATTACTGAACAAGAAAAAGATCTGCAGATTTCTTCACTATTTAAGTATGCACTCCCAAAAGATGAACAGGAGAAAGTTCCAAATGGCTATTTTTTTCAAAAATGGTGTGCTTATGAAGAAATGGAGACCACCAGATGTGCCAGCTTCAGAGGACAGGGCTATTGTTTATCAAATCGTTGTTTCCAAAGCATATCTTTCTGAAATATTGAAAGTTGCTCATGAACTCCCCATGGGAGGTCATTTAGATGTCAACAAGACACGTGACAAAATTATGAGACATTTACTTTTGGCCAAAAATTAGGCAAGACGTTTCTCAGTTTTGCAAAACTTGTCCTACCTGTCAGTTGGTCGGAAAACCTAACCATTAAATTCCTGTTGCTCCTTTGAAACCTATCCCAGCTTTGGAAGAACGTAAGCTCCGTCCTGAGGACATGGTTTTAATATTGTCACCCACTATGGGATATCTAATCAAAAAGAAATATAGCATGATTTCGTATTCATGCAAAGAATACGAATTTCAAATGGTTCATAAGCTCGTGTGGTAACCAACGTTTGTTAATAATCCATCTTAAAATGATGAATTCTCTGCAACATCGGTATTTTGTAATTATTTAAAATGAGCTATAACAACTACTAATAAACAGCTGCTGCTTACAGTATTTTATAAACTATTTTTTATCTTAAATATATTTTAAATCATTTGAAATATCCATTTTGTATATGACTTTATTGCACAATTAAGGTGCCCTTTACATCATTTTGATATTTCTTAAAGGAAGGGTTTTCCGTGGGTCAGCGGTAAGTTTACGAACTTGTAATACTTAAGTCCGGCGTTCGATTCCCCAAGTTGGACAGAGCACAGATACCCTACTTGTATAGCTTTGCGCTACAGCAGATAAACTCTACCTCACCTAAGGGGGGTCTCCGTGGTTATTAGTACTATTAAAAACGATCTTTTCAGACATATTCCTTAAGCTACAAATTTTGCGAATAGTTATGGCCACCTTTCCGTGTTAACTGAAAATAATGAGAATTGTATAACTTTGTGGTTGCATTGTTGATGCTCAAATTAATCATAATACCTTTTTACAGAAGAATTATGGAAACGCGACATTGCACTTTCGAGTATGACGAAGGTTTAGCGTGTTGTTTGCTAAAACCGGGTAGTTTGTTTGTTTGTAGTTATGCACAAAGCTACACAATGGGCTATCTGTGCTCTGCCCACCACGGGTATCGAAACCCGGTTTCTAGCGTTGTAAGTCCGCAGACATACCGCTGTGCCACTGGGGGGCAAACCAGGTAGTGTTCGCTTGTCTAATTTTCTGGAAAATTCTTTATAAATAAATATCTTTATGGGAAGGTATGTGATTTCTAACTTTACACCTGCTCCAGTCTAAGGAAATACTTAACAGAACCTATAAAATATTTAACATGATTTTTTGATTTTCTGGCATGTTGATTCCTGACGTTTTGTATTTCTAGTCAATTTGTTATATGGAATTACTTCCTTCATTTAGAAGTTACCGTTTGGTTATAACTTACATAGTTTATTTACTATAAAAATGATTAAAAGTAGTAATGCCAGCCTCCAAATTAGTGTGATGAATTTGTTAGAATAGGTTATATATAAATATGATCAACGTATTTTAAGGCAATCACATGATAATGAATTGAATCTTATATCAGTTTATTATAGTTGAAATAAGAATATCGCCTGATAAGACGACGACAAGGAAGGTTGTTGTAAAAAGAACACATATTCTGCTACAAATTACAAATAAGCAATTAAGTTTTTATCTATAGTTCTATACACACTATCAGATCTTTAGTTGTATTATCACAAGTAAATCAAAAGTCACATGTTAATGTCCCAAGGTAATAAAGCTATGCAATAAATGGCTAAGAATTGTTACATTAATAGGGCACATATTCATCAATCTATATAGATAAAATGCTACATAACTTCATCTTTTTTCGGGGTTTATTATTTCCTAGTAAGTTACCATAAGTCAAAGTGTATTGTTAAACAAGAGTGTTCAGTATAACGTACATAATAAATATATCGAAAAAACAGCTAGTGTGTAATGCGTGTATCATGTAAGGATCCAAGTGATAATATTCATATAAACACGGATGAACGTTTAAACTGAGGTAAGACCACTGAAACAAAATCTATATTATCAGTGATAACTTTTAGCTAATCAGGCTTGGCATGGCTACGTGGTTATAGGGCTCTCGATTCGCAATCTACGGGTCGCGGGTTCGAATCCCCGTTACTGAACGTGCTCGCCCTTTCAGCCGTGGGGGCGTTATAACGTGACGGTCAATCTCACTATTTGTTTGTAAAAAAGTAGCCCAAGAGTTGACGGTAAGTGATGGTGACTAGCTGCTTTTCCCCTAATCTATCACTTCTAAATTAGGGGCGGCCAGGGCAGATAGCCCTTGAATAACTTTGTTCATTAGTTATGGTTATAAGCGACAATGCAGAAAGATAATGTCACTGTTCATTAGTTATGAATACTTTGAAAAAGACCATAAAGCTCCTTCCAGTTCAATATTTATGGCTCCTTAACATGTTCATAGCCAAGCGAACTTAAACTATATTTTTAAGCAGTTTATAAGCAGCATACTATCCAAAAATGGTAGGATAATAAGACCAAGCAGGGTTTTTCAACTTCTTCACTGAAGACTTAGACTTTAATGAATAAAATTATAAACTAATGTATTCGAAATAACGTTATTTATAAAGTCGGCACACTGACAAAGAAACTTCAAGATAGATAACACGGAATGAGCACGTTATTGTTGTTAAACAGATTCATCCACGGGAATGGGACGCAAACTGCTTGTACCCTGGCTACGAGAATTACTATGTACTAACACAATCTCTAAGGTGGAATGGATAGACGAGAGGAGCGGGATGTTTAAAATACCCTGGAGACACGCTTCCAGTAAAGCTTGGGACGAAGAAATTGATACAAAACTCTACAGACTATGGGTCGAAAACACAGGTTAGTTCATGAAAACGCAACTTCATTTTCTTAATGTTCTACCAACTAGCTTTTTCTTAACATAGCTTAGTTACTAAAGTATATAACCCCTGTTAAAAACCTATAAGTTATTATTCACAGGTAACATACAAATGTAAGTCTTTATATTGTTACATTAATAGAGTACATATTCATCAATCTATGTAGATAAAATGCTAAATTCATTGTACTGTTAAACAAGTGTGCTTTAGTATAACGCACATAATAAATATATTGAAAAAACAGCTAGTGTGTAATGCTTGTATCATGTAAGGATCCAAGTGGTAACATTCATACAAGCACAGATAAACGTTTAAACTGGATTTCATTCTTCTAAACGTCTGTTTTACAACAGCTTAGAACCAAAATACCTTTAATTAACGATGAGTATATTTTATATTTCATTCCTTTATTTATCATAATTTCTGTTATTATAAATTAAACACGTTTTTTGTTTTTCATTAACGAAAATTCTATATATGTAAAACCGTAGTCCACTTGCAGCACAATTACACTGTAAGATATAACTCATTCACTCTCTAAAACCGCAGTCCACTTGCAGCACATTTACACTGTAAGATATAACTCCTTCACTATCTAAAACCACAGTTCACTTGCAGCACATTTACACTGTCAAATATAACTCCTTCACTCTCTAAAACCACAGTCCACTTGCAGCAAGTTTATATATATATATATGTATATAGTAAAATATATTTTTACCCTATAAAGCCACAGTAAAATATAACTCCTTTGCAACATGTTTACATAGTAAATTATAACTTCTTTATAGTGAACATTCTCTATGAATTATTTGTTGAGGAGACAAAATATCCAGTAATTGGTCTTCTTAACCGCTATCACACACATTTTAACTTTGTGAAATGCGACTTTTCTAAAATATTATGATGCTTTAAAGTAAGATGTTTTATATGGTTAATTTGCTTATGTTTTATAAGGTTTCCCTCCGGAATAAACTTTGTGTATTGTCATAGGAAAGACAGTTCCGCCGGATTTGAAGTGCAAGAAACTGAAAGCAAACTTTCGGTGTGCTCTAAGGAGCCGTCCTGACATTGAAGAAGTGAAAGGACTGAGAACAAAGGAATACAGGGTCTTTCGTTTTACAGGTAATGTGTTTTAAAAGCAGATAATATTAAAGAAGCATGCTCTTCTACAACCATAGAATATTGTTCTGGTAAATTGTACAAGTAGAGTATTTTACAGTGGGAGAAAGTAATATAGGAATCGATTTTTAATTTTTACTAGTAAAATGGTTTACCACTGGAATTATTGTACAAATAATATATTTTATATTGCTAGAAAAGTAAACATCCTAACGGTCTTACGAAATGGTGGCAAACTATAAATAACTATATTCAAAGTGGTCCTCAAATGTGACAAGTACCAATATGGCTTCTTTATTGTGAATATTTATTGCTGTTCTTGGTCTACCAGCATGACTTGTATGAGTATATGAGCCTGTAGTACGCAACCGCTGACAAATATTTCCTATCCTCTGATGTAAAGAATAACGTTCATCAAGGAACCAAGGCCTGGCATGGTCTGGTGGTTAAGGCACCGATTGACAAATAACATAGCAACAGGCTGAGCGTTCTGGTGGTGATGTTAAACTGATTCTCAAAATAATACTGTCTATTTTTATTTTTTAGATGAGTTGAGGGCATATGTAGTATAATGCTTGTGTGCTACGTTATGTAGGGGTCTTTGTTTTAACACTACTTAACTTTTTAGAACATTTATAGGTACAATGACCTTCTCTGGCAAAATTCTGGATTCACACCTTAAATCTAGGTTTGTACAACAACATTTTCAATGGTGAGATTTAGATCTTTTGTTGTAGAACTCCATGTGAATTTATGTCTATAACTTTTATCCTTGAGGAGAAATTTTGATAATTTGTTTTGGCTTAAAATATTTCATTTGTTACTTTCTGCACATTTTATATTGACATTCAGGGTATTTGATGCATATTAATAAAACTTACAATGGTCACGACTTTGAATGACCCCGATAATGTCACATGGTAGGCCCATAAAATCTCTTCAAGTACTATTAACAATTAGTTTCTTATACCTTTCAATTTATCAATAATTTGCCCGTTATTGGCCATCTGAATCATCCTATTTATGTATATAACCAACTTTAATGAATTTTGTTTTAAAAAAATAGAAAGGAAAGGTACGAATTATTACTGTAAGGAAAAATAAATGATGAAGTAAACATTTCGATAATAAAACACCTCATGGTCGTTTCGCTGAAAGTTAGCCATATTTTTTCCCATACAACGATTTCGTTATTTCCTTTGTATTTTCAGTTTTGAATACCATGTAGCTGCATTAATATCTTATATGTGTTAAATAAGTATATGTCTAATTCTGTTTAATTTCATAATAATTAAATCGTATATTTGTATGAATAAAGGTAATTTCGGAATTGATATTCATATCTTCCTGTTAATGTTGGAAATTGTATCTTGAAATATATGGAGTCAAACACACCCTACTAGTTTCATATTTTTTCCGATTGAAATATTTTTGTACTTCTTATCTATTAACTGACTAACCTTACTTTGTGTGTGGTTTTGTTTTCAGGAAAAAGAAAATACAATGCAACTAATGAAAAGCAGGTAAACGAGGAAGAAACATCATTGAAGGTGTTTAGTGGCAAAGTAAGTACAGTTGTAAAGCTGCACACACACACACAAAAGAAAAACTTTACGAAACGTAAGACTTTTCTGATGAATAAAAAAAATGTTTAGGCACGAATAAGAATTTTTTGTATTTTCATCGTTTGTCAGAAGAAAAAAGTATGTTTACAAAAAATGTGTTATCCATGGACTTCATGAGAAGTGTTTTGTTTGTGTGCGTATGACAAAAATCGTGTAAGATTTATATTACAAGAGTTTAAAACTGTCTCGTGGGTAAAAAAAAAAATCATAAAATGAATTTGTCACTTTTCTTAATTCAAATACACAAATTAATGATGTATTTTGGTAATACAACAGAGATCAACCTTAGTGTATGTGGTGTGTTATCGTTCTGAAGTGTTACACCTTATATGTAAAGAATTATTAAAATTATTTTATAACTAGCTGGAGTACCCGTCCCCTGGACAGAAGTTATGAAAATTCATGATTAATGAAAGATTTATATGTAATTGTAAAAAGCGCCCATAAAAACTGAAAAACACAAAATGTGAAATTACAAATTTATATGTATCTCCCCATGGACCCAATGAACCTTCATACCAAAATTTGATGAAGATTCATCTACAGGAGGGGAGGTAGTGATAAAAAAACGCAAAAACGCCCATAAAAACCGCAAAACGCAAAATGTAAAACTGAAAAGTTGTATGCATGGACCTAATGAACCCCCATACCAATTTGGGTGAAGATCCCTTTACACCCTACGAAGTCGTTACATGAACATACAACAGACAGTATTATTATATTTATATAGATACCAAACAATATATTCAGTAACTAATACAAGCAAAGGATAAAATATTTTTCTATTTGTTTCTGATTACCACAGATGAAAAACTCTGTAGCACTTAATAAAGTGTTTCTAATCTTTTCTTTGGTCAGAATAATACGACAGTCCGAGAGAATTCCTATCATTTTCCTACTTTCCACCAAGACAACTTTTTCTTTAATAACTCAGAAATTCCCTCTTTCATGGCAGTTAATAGTCCCACATATGCCGAAAGCTTCGCAAAAGATATGTCCTCTTTACTGCAAACGAACGAATCAGAGAATGGACTTAGTTTTGCAGAAGACATAACCTACAATGATGATTATTCTAGTTTGTCCTTCATGGCATATTGCGAAGAAAGTTTTGGAGACTCAAACAATGGAATACCGTACAGTTATTTCGAAAACAAAGGAGGTAAGATCAAGCGTGACCCTATATATATTCATTTTGTTGAGGGTAGATTCATTAATCTGTAAGTACATGATGAGATTTTTTTTTTTTAAATGACAAAATCAGTGTAAACTGAATTATAAATGTTGGATAGATAAATGTGCAAACTAAGAAGATGACATATCACTCTTGAGCTGAGAGTGGTCCTTTGGTTAGTGTGTCAGACTGTAGAGCTGAAGTTTCGTATTTCGCTCTCTGTTGTTACAAAAATAATAACAATAAAACGCACCACGCACTTTATAGCTGTGGATACATTATAAGAGTGACAGTTAAATCCCACTATTCGGTCGAACAAGAGTAGTCCACGAGTTTTCGGTGGATATTGTTGATTAGCTGCCTTCCCTCTAATGTATCACTTCACAAAATGGCCCGGAATGGCCAGGTGGTTAGGGAACTCGACTTGCAATCTGCGGGTCGCAGGTTCGAATCCCCTGTCCCACCAAACATGCTCGCCCTTTCAGCCGTGGGGGCGTTATAATGTGACGGTCAATCCCACTATTCGTTGGTAAAAGATTATCCCAAGTGTTGGCGGTGGGGGGTGATGACTAG